TATAAATTATACATTATTTTAAATTCTAGACCAATAAATGAAATTATAGTTTTGATTTGTGTTTTTGGGGATAAATTAATAGTTTTGTTTTTTATTATAGCAATTGGATTGTGCTCGCTCATGTCCGTAATAATCAACGTCACCTGTCTCATTTGTACAAATTATAATCATGCAGAGGCACTTATAATCGTTAGTACGTGTACACCATTAGTATCGGCAATTATAATTTATATTTACTTGTATTGTAAATATTAATTATGTTCACATAAACCATACACCATAAGCTATACTGTACATTTTTCAATTATTTTAAACTAATTTTTTACTACTAATAGTTTTACACATTTTACACATAATGTAATTAGTTGGTATTAAGATTATATTTATAATTATAATTTTATTATAAAATGAGTCTCAATAATAATTACAATTATCATTACTGTATACAGAGTACATGTATTTTACACTCAATGATACAATAATGTGTTTAAAACAATAATTTATTATTCATAGAATTAAATATAAGTAATCTTTATAAGTAAGTTAATAATACATTTTTAATATAAGGCAATAGTTTGCGTACAAAAACAAATCATTAAAAATTATTAGACACACAATAAATTTATTATACACTTATTATTAATAACTTATTAATAATAAGTTATTATATTTATACTATTTATTGAGACAGGATAATTTAGAGCACATTATGACTTAATAACAAATCAAAGTATTGACATTTAAATTAATAATGAATAGTGTTCATAACTTGTAAATATTTAAAAGTATTAATAAAATATTTACTCAAATATCTGACTTAAAAAAATTAACAAAAAAATATACTTAACATTCAGTCGCCAATATAATCAAAATATTATTTGCTATCATTAAATGAACACAAAATAAATCCACAAAACATACACATCCACATCCATGCAATGTGTATTTAATCGGCAATACAACAGCCCAGACAGCACCCGGCTAACAGCGCCAGGCAACAGCACGACTCCTTAGACATGCCGCCATCGCCCTGACGTTTACCCCTCTCGACCACCCGTTCCTCGATGATGATGGGCTGCGGGTTTTGCGGCGCCCCATACGGCATACCATAGCCTGGTTGGTAGGGCTGCTGATACATACCGGGCGCCGGCTGTTGCGGGTATGCCATAGGCTGCGGTTGGTATTGGACGGGATAGCCCTGACCGGGGTATGGCTGCTGCACCACCTCCTGGTAGACGATGGGTTGGTTGGTGTATGGGGGTGGGGGTATAGCTTGCATGGTGTTTCACCAGTAGTAGTACGATATAATTATATAGCAATATATTTATGACACTGTTTATAATAACTGATTATTATTAATAAGTGTAGCAAATGTTTGTTAGATTTTGCAGTTATTTTAGTGTTTGGTTAGAAATATGTTTTTTGTTGTACACATGAAATACAAATATGTTTTTAAAAAAAATATTTTATTCGTAGTTATTATCAAAATAAGTGTTATTCTTAAACTTGACATTCAGTTTGCATTCATTATGATTACTACTATTATGTGGTTTTGTATGTGAAATACAATGAGTATTCAGTTTTATGGCTCATTTCCAGTATATTCTCGGTGTGATTGGAGTGTTTTTTGTCAATGTCGACACCACATGTGCATGGTAATTATTGATTTGTATAGAGATTATCATACCTTTTGTATTGAATACCTATACGAGAGTCGACTGTATTATGAACTGAATATTGTGTAAATCTTTTTTTTGCAATGAATAAAACATGGGATAATGATTTGTGCAAAAAATACTCGTTTAATGATTGTAATATCGGTATAAATAAGCATAAAATTATAGCTCATGTCAAGAATCTGATACTCATGTAAAAGTACAAGTATTGCACATTTCTAATGTAAAAATAATATTTAATCAAAAGTCGTTAAAACAATTACATACAATAATAAATAGTAAGAGCTACTTAAAATTATATTAAATTTAGTTGTTAATCAATATAAAAGCAAATATAAATGTGAATATTTAGCTTAGTGTATGTGGTCAAGAATAATTTTAAAAGTAATAATAATAATAATAATGACACAGGTTAGTTATCTAGTCTGTTTTATTTTTTATGACCACACGTATTGAATAAATAATATAAATCTCATAATTCATATAAATTGCTAATTAAAACACAAATCACACGTAAATTCAATGCCAATAGAGTGCACACCTGTTAACACAACACAAACAAAAAATAGTAATCATTTAGTCGGCGCCCAAACACCAGCCCAATAGGCAACCGCCTAACAGCGCAAAACAGCAACAGTTTTGACACTCGTCATCCCGGCGCTTATCGTGATCCCGGTGCTCGCAATCGTGGACAAACATAGTCGGCTGAATGGGTTGAGCCACGTAGGCCTGACCGCCGACACCGGCGCTGCCGTAATAGGGGTGTTGGTGGGGCTGGTATGTCGGCGAACTCGCGTACACTGGTTGCGTGGTTTGACATAACGGTGCCCGGTATTCGTAGGCTAGTATGGTGGGGCATGGTGATTCGCGCCACCCAGGTTGTTGGTGAATGATAGGTGGGTGCTGTATGGGTTGGGGTGGTGGTGGTTGCGGGTGTTGTTGCTGTGGTATATTAGTTGGTGTATATTCCGGGTTATATGGTGGTGGGGCACCCGGTGCTCCCGGTTGCATATAAGCCTTATTCTCGTACATTATGTATAGTTGTCTGAGGTTTTTCACCAAGGTGGTATATTAAGTAAATTAACAAATAAAACACTTAACAAATGAAATGAATGTATGAATTAAAACACTTTTATATTTTAGTCGATTCTGTAATTACGTGTAAAATATGTATTTTTAAGTGTAATGAAAAAAAACATTTGATATAATATTGTGTTTTTCAATGAGACCTTCAGATAGTTATTGTGAAAAATAGCTAACTTTTTATATATTTATTTGAAAATGTTTAGACGATTCACTCATTTGACTGTTTATCATATCAAATGTTTATGCGATGTATAAGTTTTTTTGTTTTATAACGTAAACATTTGTTACTGTGAACCAATGTATAGTGTACTGAACTTTTTCAGTATAAATTATCATTAATATAATGCTGTATATTGCTGTATTGAATTTATTTTAGTTTTATTTTTCTGATTATTTTGTAAAAACAATTTTTATACAGTAGATTATATTTACTATTAAGTTAGTTAGGTATTTTACCAAGATACAATTAATCTAGAAGGTTTTTAGTTATATTTACAATTTCGTTAACCATGTTTACAATTGCGTTCGGAAATCAAAGTCTAATAATAAAAATATTTTGGTTTGTAATCAAATCATAAGTTTTTATTAAATAGTTTACGTAAAATATTTCCTTTTTAAATGATTTCCTAATTATTGGCAATAATCTCAATAAAACACAGAATTTATTATTATGTTAAACAACATGAGAATAATTAATAGCCAATAATTTCTATTATATTAAAGTGCTATACATGACAATAATTTATTTATTTTCATTTAAACCAGTTTAGCATAATAAAAATTATTGGCTATTAATTGAACTAATAATTAATAGACAAACAAAAATTAAAAATTACAATTGTATTAGCAATGAACTTATTGAAAACAAACAAAAATATGATACAGTCCAATTTAATAGTCGACTAATACAGTGGCATTAAAAATAGGTAAACATACTATCGTTAGGTTTTTTGCATACAATCGGATTATATATGGGAATGGCGTTAAGTATTTGTGTCTTAAGATCGGCCGTACATTCCTTAGGGAAGGCGTCGCTATATCTGTGGTAATGATTGTAATACGACTCAAACAACTGGTCGTCGCTTTTCATACTGTCGTACAACTGGTGCCAATCTGCCGGCGCTAGCGACGACATATTGTAGGCCTGTTTAGCCGTATACCCGATGATGTACTGCGGAGTCAAGTTGTCCGGGTGTAGGTTGGCGTCCGTTAAGTTCAGGTAGTAGTTTTGGTGGTCCAGAATAGTGCCCTGGTACGTTCATAGTAAATGTTAGCTTATTACTTATTTGAATGCAAGTTACAGAATATTATTATGTTTGCTATACTTTATTTTTTTTGTCGTTTGAATATCTATACTATGCCTTGTTTTCAATTTTTAACAAGGTAATTAATTGGTATGTTTTTAGTATAATTGATTTTGGTAGTTAGTAAATACAGTATATCATATATTTATCTATGTAAAAAATAATTATTGAAATAAAGTTATTTAAAATATAAAGCTTTATATTTACCGCAGAATCGATTGAATACAACCTAAACGCCGGGTTCACGCTCTCATAGGGTGTGACACTAGGGGCCAGGTATGCCACGCTGATGGGCACCGACTGGTTACTGGGCGAATAAAGTACCCGGAACTCGTCGAAGTGGGTGTGTCCAAAAAACTGACCCTTAATAGTTTGCGAGTACTTATCAACAATCTGTAAATAATTGTGAACCCATTGCGATATACACTGTGTATTGTCGGGCGGTATGTGGCCTATAATATGGACAGACTGTCCACTACGTTGAGACTCCAACAGCTCCCTGACCAACCACTGTAGCTGACCACCAGGGTCATTTGGGTTCAACATGAGCCAGAAGTTGATACGAGCGCATGCATTGGTGTTCAAAACCACTACTTTTAACAGTTTGGACACATTATTGGCGTAATAGCCGTACCGGAGGAACGTCTGGTGATAGCCGTTGGGTATCCACTGAGACCACTGGGCCAGTAGTTCCCGGTATAGCCACGCGTTAGACAGTGGACCCTGTATTTCGGGCGGTGGGAACTGATTGACGGGCAGTCCCTCGTGATTGCCCACCACCGGGAACACCAGCTTTCCGTTGGATATGTATTTAGTGATCAGCGATGTCAGGGAACGGGAGCCGTTGACTATGGTCTCCCGTGTGGTGTTCCACACGTCGTGTGCCGTTATATCGCCCGTCCATATGATGTACTCGTAGTCGTCGGCAATAGTGGTGTTTATATAAGCCATGAGTTTTTCGATCGTATATTTAGGGGAATCGCAGGCGTTATAGTCGCCCCAAAAGCCGGCCCTCCCTTTCCCCTTAGCACTGGTCGGCCGGCAGCACAGGGGTTCGCCGCAGTCGCTGTCGGCTCCGGTAGTATAGTAGGGGTCGATGTGTAGGTCCGACAGGTGCAGTACTTTCGCGTTTCCCACGCTTTTGCTAATATTATTGTCGTATGTATTGTAAGAATATTCTGTGCTTTCCGTGTTAATAGACGTGTGGTTACTGTCCGTCAGGTTTACCTCCCATTCCAGTCGTTTGGCACAGGGATCGGACAGGCATTGAGCGCCTATTAAGGTGGCACAGACCTCGCTCCGGGACAGGTTGGTGTGCCGTATGATGTAGTATATCTCGTTGGAGAACAGGTCCGATAGGCCCCCACATACACGCCTGTCCTCTATCCGGAACGACTCGCATATGCCGGCCATCAGGTAATTGAGTTCCGTAACGGAATATACGGACAGTTTGGTTAAGCCGATCACCATTTCGCACGAATAACAGGTGAACCGATTCTTGACGCCATCCCTGATGTTGTCGTACACCTGTTCAGTAAAACAATACAATTTGTGAAACTTTATGTCATTAAATAATTTTGTGTTAAAAGTTAGCTTAGTACTTATAGTCAAAACTTATAATAAATAGTAGTAATGTGTCAGGATAATATTTAATTATCCCCGATAATAAAGTGTATTTTTCTAATTGTATTATAATGACAGAATATTCTAATAAATTAAACATGATAAGTGTTACCCCGAGTAATATTCTTGTTAACTCACATAAACCTTATATAATTAATACGAGAATAATTCAAATAATAAATAATACCGAGAAATGGATTTACAAATGGGGGGTGGGGTGGGAGGCATACTAGCTAATGGCAATCAATTTTATTCATTCAAAAACTAATAATAAACAGAATATTCTGTGTAGAAATGAATACCCGTTTAGCCCTCCGGGGGCCCAAAGCGTGTAGGAATTCATACACAGGATTCCAACTGAAACTCCTTTTAGCGACTTCCCGATGGGTGTTATCATTGGTTACCACCGATGACGGTATCACTTCAGCACTGTTGTGACAGGTGTTTGTGTCGGCATTTGTTACACTGATTGCTATTGTGAGCACTAGTAGTGAAATAAACTTAAACATCATTTTTAATACTATTGTTTGGTTTTTGGTGTAATAAAGTAACAAAAAAGTTTTAAATCACTAAATAGTAAACAAGTTTTTAGTTTTAAAACACAATTGGGTTCACAAATCGGTGTTGAAATGATTGTTGTTTAGGAAAATTGATTTCATTTTTCAATTTCATAGTCAGATTCAATCGTACGATGCGTTCAGTATTAGTATTAGTATTAACTGTTGAGATAACACATGAAAATCAATGACTTTTCGATGACTCCAACCGCAGGTCTTATGGAATTGAATGGGAATTCAGTGTTTGTGTTATCAGTTTACAGTGTTTTTCAATGACTGATCACTTGTTTAGTGTCAACACTTCACTGATAATGTCGACTAAATAGTTAACAAATGTTTAATTAATTTAACAGATTAGTGATTTTAAATCACTGATTTGTATAAACAAATGATAAGTTTGTATTTTGATGCAAAATTATAACGATCTAGTTGCTATAAAACGCACAATAAGACAAAAACTTTTTTAGCAATTACTATAATCGCTATCATTTACACTGTAATACAGTGACTATGCTATCGATGATAAATAATTGTATTTAATATCGGATTTTGTTTAAACAACTATTTAAACAAACAGTCGATTAGTAGCCATGTGAGTAAATTTGTATACAATTATTACTTTACTCATATGAAATATTTTCAGATTTTATTTCATGTGCAAATAATTACAATTGTTTTTTGGCTA